GAGAATACTACCCCCCTGGGGTTTCTTAAAACCCCGGAGTCATAGGTTGTTTAAACGCACCCCTAAATAGGTTTTTTTTTACGAGAAATTTATGTTTTGCCATATTCTGGTTATTTGAGATTTAATCTGCTACTTGAGGACTACTTTTTCTAAAAATAAGCGGTATTCTAAAACCCCGGCGTCATAGGTTAAAAAGCACCCCTAAAAGATTATTATTTTATGAGGAAACGGCGATTTGTGTCACATTCTGGCTAAGTGGGATTTAATCAGGTACTTCGCGACTACATTCACTGAAAATTTCAGTTTTCTAAAACCCTGGCGTCATAGGTTTAAACGCACCCCTAAATATGTATTTTTAACAACCATCCGAATTTGGTATGCGACATTTGCCGTGTGCGACAATTTTCATGGTAGACTCGAGAATTCTACCCCTGGATCGCAATGGAAGGTGATGAGACCATCTCACTCATTTTACAACCTAACCTAACCTATCACTCTTAAGAAGTAAATTATGATTTTTCGAGGATATTTATATCATGTTATGTTTAAATATACTTAGTTCATGCTCACCTGCACTTTGCACAATAAATCATAGAGTATGGTTAAAACAATAGTAATATCAGTTATTGAAATTAGAACATGACTTCTGACCACTTTCTTTTTAATGAAAAAATTGGTAAATCTATTGTAGAAATAGTCTGGAACTTAATATAGTTTTGTTCGTATTATATTCGTAGTTCTCATTCCACATCTACTTCAATGCCGGAATCATTTTATGGGTTGTAATTAACTGAACAGTATATAATTTATTATGTGCAGTATAAATATTACAAACAGTCAGTAAAATATTGTAAAAGACTCAGTAATTTTATAAAATATGATGAGTAAACAATGAATTTTGGAGCAGTAAAATTATTATTTGGCCTGTATTTCTATGTTCACTTTTGTAACTATAATGGTCAGTAAAAATTAATGAAATGTCAGTATGAATTAGTCGGTAATAATTCTACAAATGGCCAGTAAGAATAAATAAATGGCCAGTATGCAGTAGTCGGTAATAATTTTGAAAATGTGCATTAAATAAGTAGTATTATGTTTTTAGATCGAGTGTTTCATGTTTTTAAGCTACCGGTTTGCAGCAAAAAAGAAACTGAAGATTTTGTATTCTGTTTAAAACAATTAAGTCTGCCTGTCAGGATATATTTCAAAAATCAAATGCCCCAAAATACACTCCCGTATCGGGGACAACACTATTGATTTGTAATTGAGGTGGTGGGTGGGTTTGTGTGAATGCGTCTTGTTTGTTTTCATTTACTAGCAGTAGTATTTTATAAACCATAGAAGCAAATTTCACATACATGAACAAATAATATTAATGCCGTGACAACAAGAAGACGAAGTAAAGACTTCTTGTAGGGTGGCGGCTTTGCCGCCACCAAAAAATTTTAATCCATACCTGGCTACGCCGACCGGCATAAACACCAACGGCCTGGACACAGCTCACCTACTCTGTCAAAAGGAGACCGATGTACAAATAAAACGCGTATTATTATACTGACCATTTATTATTTTTACCGACCATTTAATATTATACTGACCATTTATTATTTTTACCGACCATTTATTATTTTCACTGACCATTTATTATTTTCACCGACCATTTATTTTTATATTGACCATTTATTATTTTCACCGACTATTTAATATTATACTGGCCATTTATAATTTTCACCGACCATTTACTATTATACTGACCATTTAATATTTTCACCGACCATTTAATATTATACTGACCATTTATTATTTTCCCTGACCATTTATTATCTTACTGACCAACTAAAATAAAATAATGGAAAAGTGTACTTACCATAAAATTTAAATAATGATCATTTAATTTGTGCCGTAATTTTATTAACACGGATTTGAATGAATTATTTAGAAGATATTTTATAATTGAAATGTAGATCCTGTTTTTTTACATAAAAATATAATGGGTGTAAACTTTTACTTATATACAATTTTTGTCAAAACTGCTGAAAGATGAGTCAGGTTTTGATGGCGGGTATAAAGCATATTGATTTGTATATAGTTAATATGTGTAATAAAATGGTTTTTAAAGATTAATTTTCTTACATAAATTTATAAGTTAGTGGGAAGGCTTAAAATTCTGTTATATTTTTGTATTAAATATTTTGTTATGTATTTTAGGATTATTAATAAATATTATCTTGTATTTTTTAATATAACAAATAAGTAATGAAAAGTCATATTCTAATATACAAAAATGTAATTTATTAAATTTTCTGATATTTCTAATTTAAGATTGGTAAAAATATGAAAATTATAATTTTGCATTCCTTACTTTGACTTTGTCTAACAACACACTCTGTAGAGCTGCAAACTGGTCCAATTGAAAGTTGCCATTGATGACTTGAAAAATAACATTACTAAATTTGAACAAATTCTAACAATTCAATATAAAATTGCTAAGTCCTTTTGTGACTGATGGCAATCCATACTGTAACTAATTCAATTTTGGATAGGTAGGTACTCATTATTGTGTGTTTATCTTTTGGAGTTCTAATTATATTATTTTATCATGTAAAAGCCAAAAATAGCAGGATCTGAAAATAGTTGTTACTGAATGGCCATTTCAAGTAACTTGAGAGTGAATTGGAGGGTTAGTATTTAAGCACGTCGAATGTGAACCCACGTTTATGCTAGAATGACTTTCGTTTGGGGTATAAATAAAATTGGCATCATTGACAAAAAAGTAAGATTCAATACGAGAACAATCGTCTTGAGTGAAGAGGGTAGTTTTTCGAAAAATATATATTAACTTGAAAACGTAAACGATATTGTATAGAATATTTTTAGTATATTTTTGGAAGAATATGCCTCTTCAATTTACCCTTACATAAAGTTAAATCATTAATATTAAAAAGCTGCTGAAATACCTATTTAATATAATGAGTGAATATTTGCAGATCAAGCAGAGCGAGGTCCCACAACATGAACGAATTACATAAAATTACATTTCGTAACGTGTGATGTACAATAATTTATTTTATTACTGATTAGTTTATTTATAAAATTGTGTGTTGATAAAAAATTACTGACACCTGTGCAACCAATATTACTTTCTTTTATTGTTAGTTGCATATGTGTTAACTTCATTCGGCTCAGTTTGAGCGTTCGTGTATTAATAAGTAATAGAACAGAAAGAGGAAAAAAATAATATATTTAATTTAAAAATCGGAAAACCATTGGGATCAATAACATAAAGGCTGATACAATTAAATTTTTTTGTAATTTCATTTTAAAATTATTTTCATATATTTTTTCTAAATACATAGAACACTGATGGGTATACTGCTGTCCTAAGGAAGACCAGCACATCTGCAGATTTGTCTAAACTGAGTAAATCGAGTGTAAAATTTAGGCAACTTTTAAAATTCTTAAAACTCGGCAAATGACAATTGTTTTACATTGTATACAAAGATGTATCAAAAACCTCTATTTTTTATTAAAAAATAGCAGTTTTAATCGAGTTTTGACTTAATGAAAGTAGATACTGGGAAACAAGTTCAATTTATGTCTGAAAATACTAAGTAAAATCACCGTGTCTACTAAAATTAGGTACATGCGATGTTTCTACTTAGTCACTCATACAGAATATCATTGAGTATTTGTTACATAAAGAAATAGAGCAGAATAAGTACTTCAAAAGTTATTAGTAGATAATAAACACAGGAAAAATGCGCTACATGAAAATGGCACAAATACGATAGAGTATTCTACAAAAATGGTTTCTTAACTTTGTCCAGCAATAAAAAATCCAGGTTTTTTACTGTTCCTCATCTTGTACATCAAGTTCTTTCCAAAATTGAGACCTATTTAAAGGAATTATAGAAGATTTTTTAAAATATTGGTCTTCTTAGTTTTAGGCACCCCACATGGTGATGTAAATACCTTAGGCTTTGAAGTTCCTTTCTTTAATATTTTGTTTTGGAGAAAATCCATTTTATACATTTTATCAGAGTCGTTTGCAAGTTTCTAAATTGCCACAATTTGTGTTATTTTTGCCAAGTATGGACTGGACGAGGGTTTAATTTTTGTTTGGGATAAAATTTTTTGCCATTTATAGAAATCTGAGAACTGCATATTTTTGACATCAATTTTTTCCCGAATTTGCTTCTCTAACAGCAGTTGCAAAATCTTCAAAATCAAATGTTTTCTTTTGTCTCTTTAATGACAATTCTACCTGATGGTGTAAACACTATCGGCGGACATGAAGGCATGTCCTGGTTCGAAATATTTAATGCAGATATCTTCAGCAGCTGCTGCGTCAAAATTTACAATAAACATCAGAACAGATAGAAAAGCCCAATTACTGTTTTTCCCTAAGCAATTGTCAACCTAAAGAACAAAATGTTTAACACCCCTGTAGTGCAAAAAAATGCATAAAGTGAGCTAAATATCTCTTTCTTGCCGAGTCCAGCAATACCTTCATGCCATAAACATGCAAAAGCCTTTCGTTTTTTGACTTTACCGAGAGGTACAAAACTTTCATTGATTACGGATATCCTTTGAGTAAATATAGCTTTTTAAAATATATTAAGCCTTGGCAGCATTATGACTTTTTGTAGATCAACAGATACTTTAATGGTTGATGCTGTATGTTCTTGATCTACATCTAAACCGTACAAATCTATCGACTTTTTAGTGAGTGAATTGCTTAATCATTTTTTCGCCTCATTAGTCAGAAAGTACTTATTAATTTATTTTCTTCTTTTATCATTTATTTTGTTTATACATTTTGTCTTACATATTTCTATGTTGAAGGTGATTTTAAATAATGCTTTCTTTGGCTTTCTATTTTTTTCTTTTCTTTCTTTGTTTCCACGCTATCTTCAATTTTTCGTCTTTTTTTTTCGCCTTTCTTAGTGTACCCTATAAAACCTTTTAAAAAATAAATGTTAGATTTTTAGATGGCATACCTCCATTTTCGTGGTCTAATTCTAAAGGTTCCCCTCTCTGATTTTGTTGTAGAACTTCTTGTTCTTGGTGTGGATGTATGTATGAATGTATAATTTCTTTGCCAATGCAAAAATTTTCCGTGTCGTCTGCTAAAATTTTAATATTCTGTTTCATTTTTTCGTTACATTAAGGAAATACAAAAAATTAGATACCCTTAATAATTTTGGACTCAAGTTCGTTAATGTTAGTACACTCCAAGGTTTCGGGTTCTTCATTTGAAACTAAATTGATATATGCATTGGCCTGATCAATAAATGTTAATTCTATGTTACTAGTTGGATTCTCAGTTAACTTGATAGAAAAACTTCATTTTTAAATCGTCGGTGCACATATACCATCACTAAGGCCCTATTTATTAAAATTTTGAAAATTCCTATTGGTGGCATATTCTGAAAGGATAAAGTTATAGAAAAATCATAATTTGAAATATACGAAGCTATTTTTAGGACTAGAAAATTTTTCGAAAACGATGGATTTTGGTTCCATCTGAGAGATAGATTCTCTGTCACTTCAGCCATAGCCCGCTTTACTGTCACACCAGGATTGGCTATCAGTATTTTCATTTGTGCAATAGCTTTACTGGGTAAGGGTTGAAAAGGCGTAATTTTGCAAAAAAATGTTTGTTCATGCATAAAGGCATGTTCTAGGGTATAACTTGACTGATTTGTTTGCATATTTGTATGCAAATTTTAGGGATTTTAAGTGTATATTTTACAAATAGATGAGATGAAATAGCATGTGATGATTAAGGATGTGATGAAGTATCGCAGCGATCAAATGTCGCAGTGATGGATTGTCGGGTCACCATTTAGACTTACCTTAAATATTTTTAATCAAAGAAGCTTTTATATTTTTATAAAAATACCTCGAAGAGCACAAACAGTGTTGCCAGAATATATATTTGTTATGTACCAGATTTGCCTGAGAAATATACCAGATTCCATAAAAATGTACCAGATTCTATGAATTGTACTCTATTTCTCAAATTGTGATGGTTTGGTATTTTAATTAAGTTTAATCAAAATAACTGTTCGTGAAGAGTCGACATATTGCTACTTACATGAAATAATATTTGAAAAACTCATTGAAAAGGCTTTATCCGATTACTACTTCAGTTTATTAAGAATTTATTACAGTTAATCAAACGTTTTCAAAGTAAATCGTTAAATAATGTAAATTTACTAATAATTTATTGTGGCTAAATACGTTTTTCTGGTATTTAAATGTATTTCTGTACGTCTATGGGACAAACATCTGATAATCAAATTTCCGAGTTAAATTTGTAAAATGATGAATGAGAAAACCGGTTTACAACTTTTACAAATATCGATTTTCTTATTGCGCGGTTGTTAGATCTCGTATGAGAATGATTGCATTACTACTGTTAAGAACACCGTAATCTTGGCTACAATGTTTAATCAGATGTTTGTGTTTCTACCGAAGACGCTTTGCGTTGGCTTCGTAAACAATCCTATCTGTCTTGGTTATACATCTTTGGGTATCCCTAACGATTAATTTCGGAATATACAGTATTTAAAAATCGCTACTTACACTCTACTGGATAAAGAAAACTATTCGATTTCTGGAATCAGTGAGGTATATATTATAGAAGTCTACCAAACATGTTTTTTAAAAAATGGGATTTCCTTTGGACGAAATTCCGCTCTTTGGATTTAAGTGAAATCAATTAAATAATAAATAATTAATAATACTCACCTAATGTATCTGTTCGGCACCATTAGCAAACACATCACACACTAAATATATTGTATAACAATGTTATTAATAATAAATAAGCCGAACTATAAAAAAAATTATATCGCAAGCGCACTTTTGATATATTTTTGGCTTCAAGGTGCGAGAAGTGCTGATTCATTTTTAATACACTTTAAATATAAAAATCCTTTACATAATGATAATATTGATTCAACAACGGTGGTTTATTCTGGACGATATAGAGAAAAAAAGATATACTGGTTGTCCCAAATTAAAATTATACTTTATAATAAAATTCGAGGTCGGTGAAGTTGCCCCTCCTAACCTATTTGTGTGAATCTTCCTTTTCCAATACGAAGTTTATTAAGAACAAATATCGCAATCGACTAACAGATAAACATTTGGAAAATTGTATTCGAATGGCTGTATCAAATTATACTGCAAAAATTAAAAAAATTATCGATGAGTCTGAGTGTCAGCCTTCTCATTGAACGTGCTTTTTTATTTTTCAATGTTTATGTTCATGATAGTGCGTTACTTTTTTGTTGTTATTATTAACTATTTTTAAATCTTACGTGACGTCCCGTTGTGGTTGGATAAAAGTTTGTGTTTATTTTTCATACACCTTCGTTTGGTAGGTAGGAATGTAGCTATGAACAAGTACGTACTAGTAATATTAGTTATTTTGTTATTAGTTTATTATTAGTACCTATGTATTATGTATTACCAGTTAAATAGTAAAATAAATACATATAATGATAAATTAACTGTGGATTATTTCATTTACGTTGCGTTACGTGGCTTCCGTGTGGGTAGCTCGCTGTTTATTCCAAAATTAACAAAGTAGCTCAACACATTGAGAGGTTGGCGACCACTGGACTAGATATAAGAATTATGAAATAGCTATATAAACAACAAAGGTATATAATAACATAATCAGTGACTATTATTGCTTATAGAATTTGATATACGTTGGTACAGTAATTTAAAGTATTATCCGAACACCAAACAAAATATCCGGTATCCGGATACATACAAATTTGGCCACGCATATGGATACTGGATACTAAATTTGAAAAATACCGGGATATAGCTTTCGGATACAAATAAAATATCCGAATAAACGTGTAAGAAAAAGGGAAATAATTTATTTTCTTTTATTTACTGAACTATTTGTCCTAAAAATTATACCGGGATTTTCGTGCTAAATATTGGTTTTTGTCATTTTGATAAAGTAATGTTTATTCGCAAAACCGCATTTTTAAAGAACTAACAATCCTATTTAGGGGTCTTACTATTTGATGATTTATTATTTTTTTATTGATTCTTGTTTACTGAATATTTGTTATAAAAATTGCATTAGGAATCTCGTGTTAAATGTTTGTTTTTGTAGGTTTGACTTTATATACCTAAAAACTATATTTAGATGTCTGGCTATCTATTGATTTTTTATTTATTGTACTGAATTTTTGGTAAAAAAATTGCATTTGTAATCTTGTGCTTAATTCGTTTTTGTGGTCTCTCTGTTCTCATAGTCGTTTGACGACAAAAAACCTGCCTTTACAAAGATTTAAGAAATATATTTTATTTCATCCTGTCCAGTAAATCAACTTACCTTGTACACATTTGCGGCCGGTAAATGGAACATTACAGTATCAGATACTGTAATGTGTTGCCTAGCAACCTTGTTTTGATTTTAGAAACGATTGACTTATTACTTTCGATTTTTCACAAATTGTCACTTATATGTATAAAAATATAAGAAATAAAATATTCAAATTAACATAATTAGCAAATATAGTAAACATCAAAAGTATATTTTTAAATTAACTACATCAATAATTTATTATTTATTGCTGCAATTTCTAAATGTTCTTCAATTTCTTTTAGAACTTCTTCTCTTCTTAATGGTAAATATATAGGATGGAATTCGTTGTCTAGAAAATGCTTATGTTTCATATAATATATATAATATTTTGAAACAATTTGATTTTTCTTCTTATAAGGAAGGACACGAAATTTAACAGAAAGGTCCAAAAGAGCCTCTTCAATTTTTCGAAACAACATCTTATCATCCGCGTCTAAAGCATAATTACGAAGTAAATCAGTTAAATAGGTTAACTGACGATGGCAATTACCGATATCTTTAAATTCTGTACATAATGTACAAGCTGAGTATACTACTTTTGCCATGTATTCACTAAAACTAAGAATATAATAGGTAATAACTATACAAGTTTTATAAGTAACTGTCATAATTGTCATAATTCAAAGAAAATATAAACAGTCATAGCCGACTATAAAAATGCGACCGCGTTCGGATAAGGTATTTTATTAGAAAATTGTCCACAGATTATAGGTAGCATTTCTTGCAGTAAATTATACTCTTCAACCAACTTTAGTAAATGAAGAATATTTTGTAACTATAAAAGATGCTTTTAATTACATTTTTTTAAATATTTTGCTTAACTAAAATTAGTAGTTTTTGTTTTGTTTGGACTCATATCTGTTGATTCCTATTAATACTATTTAGGTAGTTCTTGTTGTAAAATATGTTTATCTACTAACTTTAGTAAACGAAGAATATTTTGTAACTATAAAAGATGCTTTTAATTATATTTTTAAAAATATTTTGCTTAACTAAAATTAGTAATTTTTATTTTGTTTGGACTCATATCTGTTGATACCTATTAACACTATTTAGGTAGTTCTTGTTGTAAATGTTTTTCTACTATAGTAAATAAAGAATGCTTTATAACTATAAAAGAGGCTTTTAATTACATTTTTTTAAATAATTTGCTTAACTAAAATTAGTAATTTTTATTCAGTTGATGCATATTGAAACTATTTAGATAGTTCTTGTTGAAAAATGTCTTTCTACTAACTTTATTAAACAAAAACAATTTTTTCAATATTTTTCTTAACCAAAATTAGTATTTATTGTAGTGTAACCAACTGTAATAAAGAGAGACAACTTAAATAATATCTCTCTTTCTCTTTTATAAAAGTATGATAAATAAAGTGGCGGCGTGATCGACTATGAAGTGACTAGGGCACCACGAGTGACAGACTGCAAGATTCGTTATCTATTGGCTACTTACGTGTTATTGAGGGAGTGGTAAAGGTTAAAAGAAAACATCTATTGATTTATATCTAATCTTTATTGAAAATATTATGACAGAATCAGAATGTAAAAATTTATAAGTATATAAAATGTATTTTTATAAAGATTAAATATAGGTATGGTTCGGTGCAATAAAAAATAATTAGTTTATCATATGAGGGGAAAGAACCAGCAAGAAAACCCCAAAGTTATAATAAATACAATAAAACCAATCAAGCGTCGATTGGGATACAAATGACAAATTAAGTATATATATAAAAAAACACATTTAATT